GATGTGGAATGAGGTGGGTGACTCCGCAAGGTGGGCGGAGTGGCGCTGCTGGAGCACGAAAGGATGTTGAGCGATGAGCTGGATAACAGCTTCACACAGAGGAGAACGAACTATATGCGAGCGCATCGAGTCACCAAATGAGATAAAGAGAGATCACTAGGAGGGAAATCGACGAGCATTCATGGGGATTTCGTCCTCACCGTGTGCGCAGTTAGACTGTTTCTCAATCGCTTAACTGGTGACGTTAATAATCAGTTCATTGACACTGAGGCCACAGTCAGTGTTGTATTCGGAATAATGAAAACGATAAATATTACTGATTCTTTTGAACAAGGTGTGTGTACATGGGTTCGAGTCCGGCCAACATTGGTATCAGCACGGTGAAATAACTGCGCATGCATCAGAAGAAAATGAAAGAAGAAAATTCACCCCTAAAACTTGCAACATTGTAAGCAGACAATACCAGTAATTGATAAATCAGAGCACCAATCAGACAATCAGCTATATGCTAAATACAGCAATTTGAACTTAAACAACAACGCTCAAATATATGACGGTCATTGTAAGTGTATTTATGTGGATGAATACCGGTTTTTGTTGCCCAGTCTGAAAGATGCTGATGAACATACTGGTAAAAGGGCGATCAAACTAAGACCTGGCATGAGAGTATGAAAACCCTAACCAGGAAACTGGGTCACATTGGTACCGTTAGGCTCCCTGGCTGGGGACGTTGAGATCATGGTAACCGGAGGTTAGAGACGCTGAGTGTCACAAACAGTGGCGCTCGTGCGTCTACTCAATATTACTGCAACCTTAGCCTATATGAATTTTCAATCTTCATTTTGACTCTGCTCTCAACATTCCAATCTTCTTGCTGTTCTTTTATTCAAATGGGTGGGCAAAATACAGCAACCAAAATGGGTGCATAAAAACACACGGCTAATGGTTGTAAAAAGTGAAACTGATGAAAAAACACTTGGGCGAAAAAGTGATTCGAACTGCGCTGAACAAGCGAGGCAAAGACACGTGACCTCATTTGAGACCGCAACGGAATGGGGTAATTTCTGAATGCAGTTACAGGTCGAATGAGATGTGGGGAGGAGAGTCAAATTGCAGTTAACACAACTCGTATGGTATACCACTGCCTGTTGAATTGGTCGTGCAGTTGGTTGCAACGAACTGACTGCTACCATGCGTTCATGTACGTGTGTGTATGATCGTTTTGATATAAAGCACAGAATCGGCCGTGGTCGAGAGTGAGTATGATAGGTGTTGGTAAAGCACATTTTCAATATCCACATTAAAAACTCTACACATCTGTAAATCTTCACCATCCCATTATGTCCCCCCCCCCTTCGCCCCCTCATCTCGCTCTGGTAGG